ATATCCTCAAAGTAACCAAAAGTTGGGAACACCTGCCTTGTCCATAGAACTCAGATTAATTGCTGAACAACCACTAAAAAAATCATATAGAATAGGAGGAGAGGTGAGGGCAGATGTGTGAAATACAGATGAGGCAAAACTGGTATGCTCAGGCTGGAACAGATACATAGACAGACAGACAGACAGACAGAGCACTATGTATTTCATCTTAGAAGGGACTTTGGACTTTGAACACTGTTAGAACTGTGAGACTATGGGATTCATGGCATTGAACTATGTTTTGCATTACTAGCTAGATGGCCGCAAGCCTATGGGAGCAGGGACAGAAAATTATGGGTTGGCTGTAAAATGTGCACCAGGAGATCACGCATCCAAACGCTTGATTACCAGCTGTGATGCTGTTTGTGGGGTGGGGAGTTGTGGAACCTTTTGGAATGGGGCCTAGCTGGCAGACATGGGGAATTAGGGATAGGGCTTGGATGGCTATAAGTGGCCCGAGTTGTGGCTCAGCATTTCCATCTTCTCATCTGTCCAGATAGAACATGTCACCCCTAAAGCTCCTGCCACCACAGAGGGCACCCCACCCACCATGCCTCCCCCCATCCCTTTCTCCTAGGTTGCTTCTGTTGAACATTTTGTCTCAGCAACAAGTCACACAAAGAGACACACACACACACACAGAGACATATGTGTACAGACACACACAGGACAGGATGGGGCAGCTGATTTTGGTACAGGGTGCTATACCACTGCCTTAGTCTGTCAACTTGTCAGGATCTGTCTGTGAGGGAGTTTCTAGATGGGTTTAAATGAGATTGGAAGAGCCACTCTAACTATGGACAGCACAATCTCATAGGCCAAAGTCCCAGAGTAAACACGGGAAAGCAAGTGAGGCACCAGCGTTCATTTTCCTCTGCTTCCGACAGTGAGTACAGCGTGACCAGCGGCCTTATTCTCCTGCCCCATGACTTCCCAATAGATGACTACATCCTCAAACTGTGACCCAAAATAAACCCTCCCTTCCCTTCTCTTGCTTTTGTCAGATGTTCTATCTGTGATGAGAAAAGTAACCGATGCACAGGGTCTTGGTATTACAGTCCAGGTTAGCTAAACCTACCATCCTCCTGCCTCAGCCCCCTAAGTGCTAGGGGTTACAGGTATGTACCACCATGCCTGGCTTTGTTTTGTTTGTTTGTTTGTTTGTTTGCAGTGCTAGCTACATACGTGCTTGACCACTGAGTCACAATCCTGTGTCTGTATTCCCTGACTGCCCTCACCCTTTCTTTCTTTTTCTTTCTTATTTCCTTCTTTCCGTTCTTTCTTTCTTCCTTTTTTTCTTTCTTTTCTTTCTTTCTCTCGCTTTCTCTTTCTTCCCCCTTTGAAACATGGTCTCACTGTGTAGCCCTGGCTGGCTTCAAACTCAGGGATCCACCTACCTGCCTCTGCCTCCTGAGCGCTGAAAGGAAAGGCATGTGCCACCATGGCAGGTCCATACCCCTCTCCTCCCCTCCCCGAGATAAGGTTTCTCTGTGTAGCCCTGGCTGTCCTGGAACTCAGTCTGTAGACGAGGCTGCCCTCAAGCTCGCAGAGATATGCCTGTCTCTGCTTCCTGAGTGCTGGGATCAAAGGTGTGTGCCACCTCTGCCCAGCTGACATTTCTTCTATATCACTATTATACAGTGCTTTTACTTGAGTTTTTGCTCATTTCAGAAATATATTTTCAGAAAAATTACATTTACCTAAGAAAAGCATTTTTGAAAAGTCTTACGCTTGTGTTCAGCCTCTTATTCATGTGTGTGTATGGTATGGGCACGAGTGTATGTATGTGTTGGGGAGGGCAGAAAAAGGAATTGGCTGCCTCAGACCTGGAGTTGCAGGCATTACTTGGAAGCCGATCTTGCTAGGGAGTGCTGGGATTTGAACTCTGGTCCTTATGCTTGCCCAGCAAATACTCAATCTCTGAGTCATCTCTCCAGCCCCCAGTTTGTAGTGAAAATTTTGATTTCTTTAAAATTAAAAACAAAACCCAGTTATGTTGGGACTATGTTGTTGTTCCAATCCCAGATGTGGGAAATGGGGCTGCTTCAGATTGACCACGGCAACTGACTATGATTTGTCTCGTACTCTAGCAGAGATGTGATTTTTGCCAGCTGAAGACAGTTCACGTACGGAATTCTGGGACTCTTCAGAGCGTATATAATGCTAGAGCCCCAGAAGAGCGCAGGCAGCTGTTTCTCCCTGCTGCTACTTTTGCTGGATTGCTGGTTGCTGGTTGGAGAGACCCTGAGGCCAAAGACTGGGCTTGCTCCAAGAAACTCAAGGCCTGTAATCAGCAGAAAGTAGTCTAAAGAGGTCTACACCCCTTTCCCTGTATCCTTCTTTCTTTCCTACCCAGCGTTGGGGGTTGGAAGGGATAAAGGTGTTATAGGGAGGGGGAAAAAAAAAAGAACCCAATAGTTTGTTGTTTTTTTTAAACCAGGAAATATAATCCTTAAATCTATTTCATCAGGAACAGGTGAGTTTGCAATGTCCTGAAATTTAGAGAAGATATACTGCTGTCAACCTCTCAGCTCTCAGGTTTGTCACGAAATCAGTTTTATTCAGATCAAATTACCAATCTCCATAATTACAGCAAATATTAATAGCACTTTTTTTTCTTGGCACTACTGGGGATTGAATGTAAGGTCTCCCCTATGCTAAGCAAGTGATTCACCGCTCAGCTATATCCTCAGCCTCAGCGCTCGCATTTTGGAGATGTGGTCTTGCTGTGTGTCCTTAAACTCACTCTAGCACAGACTGGCCTCAAATGGGGCATCCTCCAGCCTCCATCTCCAGAATGCTAGAGGAATTACGTGTACGTGCCAACACGCCTAACTTAATTTCATATTTTGTATATAATGGATTTTTACCATTTTTTCCCTTTGCTCTCATGAATTACTTCAGTTACACATCACTGTAAAGACCACCGGTTGAATGGTGGAGATATAAGCATTAGACTCAAAAGATACGAATGAACAAGTGTATGCACCAGGTACTCTGGAAGGGCACAGAGAAGAGACGCTTGGTTCATTATAAATGTGGGAATGATGAGGACAGGCTTCCGAAAGAAACCCAAACAATCCACATGAGACTGGGCTGGGCCCAGGGATGGAATGTGTGGTGTTCTCAACAGGGGGGGTTATATACATATATATAAATATAAAATTCTTAAATGTTTTAGCATAACACTTAGGAAATCTATACAATCTGAGGCTTGAGAAATGGCTCGGTGGTTAAGAGCACTGACTGCTCTTCCAGAGGACCCAGGTTAGATTCCCAGCACGCACACGATGGCTCACATCCATATGTTAATTATGCACGTGGTGCAACAACATATTTGTCGGCTGAGCACAAACATACGTGAAGTGAGTTTTAAAAAGAAAATCTATATAATTTAGTGTGAGAGTAGTAACTTTGGCTACAAAAAGTTAATAAAGTGCACAAGAGATGACAATGACAGTGAGAACAGGAAGAGACGTTTATGAGATGTTTACAAGTCTAACTTGACAAATCAAGCCTGAGGGGTCAAAAGAGGAATCCGGATTCACTACAGAGGGCATCGGGAGTCAGGCTGGAGCGGTGGCCGAGGGGCGGAGCACTACCCAGCCAGACAGCATTCAAACCACTCCCAGAGTACCAGGTTTTGTTTTTTGGATGGAAGAGGAAGCCGGGCAGTTAAATCTGAGGAGCCTTTTAGACAGCCAGGTGGTAGCTGTTCCATTAGCAGCCAGAGCAAGGACGGAGTCAGAACTGGGAGCCATTAGCACAACCACAACAGTCAATCATGTGAGGGAAGGGTACCGATGACAGACACATTGGCTGAACATCACGTGGACAGCAGCTCATCATAAGTAGACTTGAAAATGGCAAATACGGAGCATCAATATGAGAAGACACGGGAAGGATATTTAAAACCTCACGGCAAAGTGCCAGCCTCAAAGGCTGAGAGAAAAGGTTGGGAACTACCTACGATTAGCACTAAGCTGTATTCCTATCACCCTTTCTGTTGATGTAAGTTTTCTCTACTCTTTAGTGAACTTTATTATTCTCTATAAGAAAGTGTTTAATTTTTGAGATGAGTAATATAATTTTCCCTCACGTACTTCTCCATGTATGTCTGTCAAAATGAAACAAAGCTGATTTTTCTGACCTCTCCCAAAGTCATTCATGATTCAACACAACTGAATTATTAGTGTCTATAACCAATGATTTCGTTTCCCAAACCGTTTTTTTAAAGTGCCACCTTCAACGCTACCGCAAACCATCTGGAAGCACTTAACTTCACCAGCCTGCTGGGATAGCTCTCTCCCCCTCGGGAAGCCCGTCCCAGTCCAAATGAGGAATGGAGAAAACAACTGCTTTGCGAATGTGGTAACACACAGCTTTCAAGTAAGACTTTGAAGTATTTGTTTCTTGCAGATTAACACAAATTGATCCTTAGTATTGTATGGGGGAACTACACAGCACTGACTTGGTAGCCTACACAATTTGCCTCCCATCTCCACACTTCGGCTGAATATAACATCAGTTATAATTTTATATTTGAGAATTACAGGGTCAGGAGATGTGGCTCAATGGTAAAATAGATACCTTCCAGGAAGAAAAGGAGCCAGGCATTGGAGGCACACTCTGTAATCCTAGTACTTGGAAGATAGAGGCAGGGAAACTTTTTCATAGGTGGGAAGGGAGTAGTTGACATTTTAAAATTATTGTTCTTTCAAACTTTTACACGCTGTTTTTATATAGGAGAAGTGTACATCTGTACAAAATTTCCATTTTGAAGCCGTAAGGTAAAAATTTTACCCTAAATGTTAGTCCTAAAAATCTTTTTAAGGTACTTCACCCCATTAAGTCCAGCACTTAGGAGACAGAGGCAGGAGGATCCAAGCCAGCCTGGTCCACATAGTGAGCTGCAGGATAGCCAAGGAGGCTACAGTAGAACTTTGTCTCAAAAAAAAAAAAATCTCTCCCCATATTTAGCACTGGGCTCCAGACATCTTTGAGGACACAGTGCCTCCAGGACCTTTGACATCTGGAGTCTGAGGGGCTCTAAGAAGAAGAAGATGAAAAAAAAAAAATTCAGTCTTGCAGTAGTAGAGCCTTTAATTCCAGTACTCAGCGGGCAGGGAAAGGTGGAGCTCTGAATTCCAGGACAGCCAGGGCTACACACAGAGAGAAAACAAAACAAAAAATCCCAAACAAACCACAACAAAACTAAACCTCCCCACAAAAAGACATACTCACTTTTATTTTTTGTGTGTGAGCTGTATGTATTTGTGTGTGTATGAATGTATACCACATTCGTGCTTGATGCTCACTGTGGGCAGAAGAGGGCACTGGATCCCCTGGAGCTGGAGTTACAGACAGTTATGAGACACTGGACATGGGTGCTAGGAACCAAATAAAGCCGCAAGAGCAGCCAAGTGTTCTTCACCAGCTTCTAAGATGCTTTCAAGTTCTGCCTAAACCTTCATTCTTTTCTTAGCTACATAACTGGTTTCTGTTGTTGTTGCTGTCTTGGGGGGTTTGTTTTGTTTTGGGACAGGGTTTCTCTGTGTAACCCTTGCTGTCCTAGAACTTGCTCTGTAGATCAGGCTGGCCTCAAATACTCAGAGATCCTCCTGCCTCTGCCTCCCAAGTGCTGGGATTAAAGGTGTGTGTCATCATGCCTGGCATGCTGTTCTTATTCAAAAATTCAAGAGAACCAAATTAGGGAGGAAAATGTGTTACTATACTACACTCTTCTAAGTAAAATTTCCTCCAGGCACGGGGGCAAAGGGCTAGGGATATAGCTCAGTGGTAGAGCATTTCGTGAACATGCATAAAACCCTAGGTTCAATTCCCAAAACAGGTGAAGAGAAAAAAAAAAAATGGGAGAAGCTGAGAATATAGATATATATAAAGTCTTCATTATGCATTTGTAGGCAGAATTACTTCTAGAGACTGAAGAGAAGACTCCATGGCTAAGAGCTGGGTTCCCAGAACCCACATGTTGGCAAGCAGTTCACACCAGCCTGTAACTCCAGCTCCAGAGGATCCTGTATCCCTGGCTCCCACAGTCACCTGCCTTCATGTGCACATACTTCATGTGCACTAATTTAAAAGAAGAAAAAAAAAACTTCTAAGTATTTTTTTGGACATTTGAGAAGTCAACATTCTCACTATGTCAAGGTTGTTTTGTTTTGCTTTTAAAGATTTATTTATTTATACAACATTCTGCCTGGACACCAGATCTCATTATAGATGGTTATGAGCCACCACGAGGCTGCTGGGAACTGAACTCAGGATCTTTGGGAGAACAGCGAGGTTTTTAACCTCTGAGCCAGCTCTCCAGCGCTGTCAAGGTGTTTTGAGTCAGTGATTATGCTGGGACAGGTTGGAATCATTTGCACATGACTTGTTTTCTAAATCTGGACAGAGGCCAGTAGTCTCACCTGTAAAATGAAGTGCCTGAACAGAATGACCTAACACTACAGAGTCAGCTGGTCCTGATTCCTGTGACTTAAGTCTTAAGCTTTTTTAAAAGAATAAAATAAAAAACTAAAAATGTCATTACACATTTTAAAACTTTTAACTCACCAAGAATCTTAAAGATACTTTACATAAACAAGCCAGCCATTTCATCTTACTAACATCAGAACAAAATAAGGCACACAGTCTGATTTTATACAAAGTCGGAGTATAAAATCTCCGATTTAAGGGGAAATATTTTCTAACTTTAATTTTGTTACTTTTAACTCACACATGAACTTCTGTCCTCCATTGATGGTCACCTTATCATTTCAATCATTTTTCTATTCTACATGTACATTAAAATTAATCGTTTCCTTTTCACATTAAAAAAAAAACCCACTCACATCTTACCATTTCATTTTGTACATCTCAATTTCAAGAGTCTTGAAATGTTCAGGATTGTACTACATTAATGACAGGGTAGGGGGGCATTCTCTAACCCTCAAACTGTGCTCCCTCAATTCTGGAAGGGCATATGTAAAAGTAAAAACTGTCCAAATAGTACCAGCTTAGGATAAATTCCCTCACTTTGGTAAGTATTCCCATTGTATTTAAGCGCCTTTGAATCGTGCATAGAAAATGGCATTCCGTGGTCCTTTTCTTTGATAGTTTACAAAAGAAGAAATACTCTAAACCGTTAATGCTGTTTGTGCCTGGGTGGTATTGCACGCCATTTTATTTTTGCATTTCCCCAAAACACGTTATCCCCTTGGTATTCGAACAGTTTTTTTTTTTTTTTTAAATTAACTAGTAGATGGTTTATAAAGTGTGGCATCCACACAGTCCAGTTCTACAGATTTGCTCAGTGGCTTTTTCCCCTTGACAAGCGGCTGCTTTAATGGGAGAATGATTTGATCAGGTGTCTACCAGGTCAGATGGAGACCAAACAGCTTTCTTCTTCAGGCCCTTCCAGGCTTTGGAGAAATCCAGGAAGTGGGTTTGAACTTAGCTGCAGTGAATCCTGCCGTCGTAAACTTTTTGGGTGGTCAGAGTAACACCTTTCATTACAACTATTAGCTGAATGGCAGAAGACTCGGGCTTACCAGTGTTTGCAGAGGCATTATTTCTGAACAATTCCATTTGGAAGGAAACGCAATTGTAAACCGTTTCTATTTCAAGCCCGTAAAAAAGCAGAACTCGGATGAAAGGCAAAGCCTTGACCTTTCTATTTTAGACTTTCATCTGGGTAGCTCAGCCATCTGCTCTCCTCCACCTCCCACCCCATCTACTTAATGGACTGAAAACACTGCACTTAATTGCAATTTTACCAAACCAAGGCTGACTTTTCCACTCTACTGAATTACGACCCCGTCCTTTCACCTGAAGGCTTGCTCGGGAGGATTTGACTCACCCTTCCTTCCCAATTCCTCCTCACCATCCTCAATTACGAGCTGCCAAACGTCTGTGGAGTGTGAGACTAAGCCCTTACGCGCAGGAAAGCCATCTACATAGCTTTTTCATCTCAACAGCGAGCGCCAGATGGAAAATCCAGGGGTCTGGGCTCCTCTGGACGCCGGGACGGTACTAGCTTTGTTGCGGTTACACGGGAAGGCACCTCGCACTCCATGAAGGAGTCGCGCGTCCCCGGGAACGCAGCCCGGGAAAGGACAGACGGACGCAGGTGGGAGGAAACCCCAGGAAGAAGGGCGCTGGGAAGAATGGGGAGCCCAAGACGGGAGGGAAGACCTCCGCAGGAAGGAGCCGGAGAAAGGTGTGCCGAGGGGCCGAGGGGCCGAGGGGCCGGGGACAGGCGCGCGGACCCCGCCCGGAGCCCCGCGGGGACGCGGGTGCGGGGACCCAGGCCCCGGGGACGGCGGCCCACCCGCGGCCGAGCCCCGCTACTTAACTATTTGTAGAGCTGCTGCAGGCACAGGTCCAGGCTCTCGCCCTCCACCTCCTCTCGGGTGATGCGCTCCGACAGCGGCCGCGGGAGCGGGGGCAGCGGCGGCAGCTGGGGCTGCGGCGGCGGCGGCACGGCCGAGTGCCCCGGGGCCGCCGCTTCCTCCTCCTCCACCTCCTCGCCCTCGGCCGCCGCCTCCTCCTCCACCGCCTCCTCCTCGGGCTCGGGGTCTCGGTCCTGCTCCCCCTCCTCGGCCGCCGCTCCTGTCGCAGCGTCCTCCCCGGGTTCCTCCCCCGAAGCCTCGGCCGCCTCAGCCGCGACCAGCTCCGCTTCGGGCTCGGGCTCCGACTCGGGCTCGGGCTCCGGCTCGCCGCCGCCGCACGGTCCGCGGAACTCGCCCAGGAACAGCTCCAGGAAGCGCCGGTAAGTTTTCTCCTCGGGGATGCAGCCCGCCATCGTTGCTCATGCCCCGGGGTCCACCGGGAACGGGGTGGGGGAGCTCGGCCCTGGCACAGGAGGGGGCTGCTTCGGAGCCTCGCCTCCCGCTACGGAGGGGGAACGGCCGCACCGGCACCGGCGATCAGCACTGGGCTGCCTGGAGAGGGCTCCCGCAGGCGTGCGCGCCACCGAGCTGGGACGTGCGCGGCCCGGGGGCGGGGGCGGAGCGCGCCGCCCCTCTCCGGTCTGGAGGGAAAGTTGGTGGCGGGCGCGCGCACAGGGTCCAGCGGCGGCCCACCCGCAATCCCTACCGAGAGCTCAGCCCACGCTGCCTGGAGACTGTCGCCATGGCAACCGGTTCTAATTAAGAATTCCAGGGTCCCTCCCGTCGAATCTGAGGAGTGTTAAGGACACTGGACGCCTGCACTCCAACTCCGAATGGGCTTTATTGGGTGAAGCCCCTAGCCTGTGAAGAGTGAACTAACACATCTGTTAAGTTCCACCAGGCATGCATTGACTTCAGCTTCCTTATCTGCTTTAGCAGATGTTGATACACACAGTCTACGCCCCTCAGAAAAAGTAGAGGTGCGGGCACATGCACCCAAAAGGGTAATTTCTTTTGCCCAGGTTATTTCATTTGATTCAATGGATTCTGTCTCAAAAAGATGAAGCTGAGAAATAAAATAGTAATTTACTTGCTTTAAAGCCCAGACTTCCTAGCTGTGCCATTGTTCCAAGTCTCCAGAGCCTATAGAATCTTTTCCCTTAACTGCTGGGAAAATCATCCACGCCTCGTGTCCACACAGTGTCTTCCCTATATAGGGCTTGTTCATCTCTTTAGTCCTCACTACGGCACTTTAAGGCAAAGGATATTAGCGTTATGATTCTTTGTTTCAGATGAGGAAACAAGCCTTGAAAACAGTGACTTTGCTCAAGGTCAGAAGCAAGCGATGCAACAAGGACTCAACCCATGGAGGAAATGGCAGATTTCACTTGTGAGTTTTCCACCAACCTAACCTCCCCGCCTTAGTTTCTGTATATCACACATCATACCACATCATATGATCCGTATGTCTGTCTGTGTTTTGTTTGTTCTTCCCCACTACCTCCTGTGTCTCTCCCCTACCACCCCAGGCAGGCTACAACTGAAGTGACTTTAAATTATTCTAATTTTCTTACCAAACTATACAATAGCAAGCCTGTTATTTTCCAGCTTCGTGGGGATGATATTGATGGTGGGCGCCCGGAGGGAGTTGTGTTATACAGTTGTATGGATGATAACGTTCCTGCATACTGCCACGTCTGTGGCAGCATGTAATTCAGCACAAACATAGTGATTTTTTTCTCTGCTCTGAAAAGCACATCCTCACAAATTATCCACTCCATCCCTCCATTTATTGTTTCTGGATTTCAGCTGGATTTAGGATCTGAAATAACCATTTCCAGTCAGTTATTAATGGCAGAAGAGGGCATGTTCTCACCAACTGTTTTCCTATAATACTGTATTTTTAAATCCCTGACCTGATACTGTTATTTTAAGATTAAGTGGGTTGAACATACTAATGGTATCATGGAAAATAGAGTTCTATGCTCCCCCCTAGGTCAAGATTGAATAATACATGATAGGAAGTGTATAGTCAATTGTGCACTTGGAGTTTTCTCTATTTTTTCCTAAGATAAATGGAAAGAGCCAATTAGTTTGGGTAAAGCAACTTCTCCATGGGATGCCGAGAAAGCCTTCAGACTCATTTGTTTTCAACACCTGTTCACTATGATTTCAGAAAAACTAGAAAAGAGCTGGTGTGATAGCCTAGCCCTTAATCCCAGCACTCTGGAGGCAGAGGCAGGGGCCACTCTGAGTCCAAGGTCAGCCTGGACCACCATCAAGTTCCAGGTCAGTGAGGGCTATGTAATAATAATAACAATAATAATAACTTGAAAAGACTGATGACTTTTTAGGCTACTGCAGTGTTAAATGTCCAATTTTGTATTCCAACAAACTGTTACTATGCCCAATTTTAACATGGTGACTTTCAGTTCAGGAGTGCGTAGCTGTCAACGGTAACAACTCATGTCAAGCTACACCTTCTTCCTTCATAATGTGGCTGCCTCCCTCATTTAGATGACGTTTGTGACATTAATTTATGACTCAACCCACACATCAAAGGGAAATGATATATGTTGGTAAAACATTGCTTCTAAGAATAAAAGAAAAAGCCCACACCTCTGCTACTGGAAATGAGAGGCGTCTCTGCTTATATTAATAAAGACACTGCTTTACAAAGATCAATATGGATCCCACTGCAGAGAAGCTCGTCACAGGCTGCTGACAGCAGTGGTAGGGTCCCAAGCAGCTGTGTAGGTGGTTTTGCCATTGTCAAGGGTTTTAGTCCTTACTTCACACAACTTTGCTTTCCTTTCCTCACACCTCACAGTCCACTCTGTTTTTTATTTAATGAAAAATGTATTGAGACCTGACATTCTGAGACTCTCGGAGTCACATTCCACATTCAGCTGGTTTTTCTCAGACTTCCCTGATACTCCTTCCTCTGTCTTTACATAGTCTGTATTTTATTTGCATCTTTGTATTTTATATGTTTCTTCTCTAGAAAACAAGACTTTGCTTTACTGCCATTGTGTTTTAAAACAGATTTAGTTATTAGCTCTTAATATGATTTTAGGATTTACTGAAATATGTAATGTATTTTTCATCAGGAACTCAAGCTATGGAAAAGCATAATCTACATAAAATGTAAAGTGAGTTCTTTTGAGGTAGTTTTCTTGCCGAAAAATGTTCTTCTAACTCCTTAGCTTTCATAAGGAGATGCACAATGTCCTTTCATAAATTTTCACAGCAATGTTTCTAAGGGTAAAAATGTTGACTTTAGTAGCTTCTGGTATAGTCCAGACATTTTCTCAGACATTTACCCAAGAGAAATACCTTGTCATGCATACAAATATATACGTGAAAACTTGTTCATAAGTGTTCACAGCTGTATTTATAACATCTCAGACCTGGAGACAATATACATATCCATGAACAGGCAAGATGGATCACTGCAGTATATAATTCATACAACAGACCATTACATGTTAATAAAAATAGATGAACTATGCTAAGTGTGGTGGCACATGCCTGGAATCCCAGCACTCCATACAATAGGATCAGGAGTTGAGCCAGTTGTAGCCTTTGATCCCAGCACTCAGGAGGCATAAGCGGGTAGGTCTCAGTGAGTTCGAGGCCAGCCTGGTCTACATAGCAAGTTCCAGGCCAGCCAGGGATATATAGTGAGACCCTGCCTCAGAAAATGAGGGGGAAAAGTTGAAGCAAAGCCTTGGTACAATAGTGAGTTAAAGGCCATCCTGGGCTACCGTGAGATCCTCCTATGTCAAAACAAACAGACAAAACTTACACACATGGATAAACCTCAGAAACTTGCTGAAAGGGCTGGAGAAATGGCTCAGCATTTAAGAGTACTTGCTTCTCTTGTAGAGCGCCTAGCTTCATTCAGAGCACCCGCATGGAGGCTCAGTTTTCTAGGGGATCCAATGTCCTCTTTTGGTCTCTTTAAACACTAGACATGTACTTGGTACATATACATATATACAGGCAAACACATACACATGCAATAAAAATAAAAACATACTGAGAAACATAAATTGTACAAAAGAGGGCCTGGAGAAATGGTTCACTTGTGGAGAGTACTTCTTACTTTGGCAGAAGACATGGGTTTGATTCCCAGCACCCACATGGCAGCTCACATCCTCCATAATTCCAGTTCCAAAGAATTCAGTACCCTCTTCTGGCCTCTGCAAGTATGAGACATACATGTGGCAGTACACATACAGTGATACACACAAAATAAAAATATTTTCAGTTGCACAAAAGAAGTCATATTATATGATTTAATGCATATAACATCCTAAAAGAACAGACAAGACTAAATCAGATGTGGTATGGTGATACATGCCTTATAGTGCCAGCACTCACGAGGCTGAGACAGGAGGTTTGCAAGTTTAAGGTTAGTCTAGGCTGCATAACTAGAGGACCTCAACAACAACAAAAGTCTGAACTAACCAAATGTGGGAAAACACGCTTTTCTTTGGATAAAACTGATATTGAGTGGGAACTTATAGAAAAGGAGCTAGAGTGAATATTGTGAGTTCATTAAGCATGTTCTCTTGTCACTGGGTGTAGCGGTACATGCCTTTAATCTCAGTGCTAAGGAGGCAGAAGCAGCTGATCTCTGTGAGTTCAAAGTCAGCCTGGTCTACACAGTGAGTTCCAGGACAACCAGAGAGAACCACACAGTCTCAAAACAAAACAAAACCACCAAAAGATGTTATTTATTTTAACTGGGAGGTTACATGAGTTATTAAATTATCAAAGTATTATTGAAGGTAATAGGGAGACTGCTCTGTGGTAAAGCACTTGCCGAGTATGTAAAAGGCCTAAAATAATGCACTCAAAAATAAGTATATTGTACATAAGTCATACCTTAATAAAGTTGATTTTTAAAAAGAATTGACTTTGGTGTTGGACCTTGTCTTTGTTGCTGTCATATCCACTCTTTCCTCCCTCGTTCTACTCTGTATTGCAGCAGAGCTGCAGGTTGCGTTCACTAGGCTCCAATGATAGCTGCCTTTCAGTTGTCATTTGCCCAGTGGGAGGCACTGACAAGAAATTATAAGTAGGGAGAAATAAAAGCCATAGCATTTCCTTGTCTCAGGCCAGAGCCTGTTTTCTCTCATTTGTAAATTTGCTCCCCTTAAATGTCCACTGCACTTTAGGCTATGGACAGTGACCCAAGTCCCTGAGCTCTGAAATCATCATCTTCCAGTTTTCCTTCAGCCATGCGATGGTGGCAGCTAATCCAGGTTCCTAATCTTTGAGAAATTAGAGAGATATTTTATAGACTATTTATCACTCTGTAATTTTTTGCAATTGTTTTAACTAAAATGATATAATAGCAATATTTTAAGCCATGAAAAGATGATGTGGAACAGAATTTTAAAGTAGATTAAAGCAATTTTAGGTTTTGAAGATCCTATTGGAACAGAGTTTACATAAAGCAAAGGTAATAGTGGGTTATTTCCTAAAATTAGGAGGACAGATTATCAGGTGCCACACGCAGGG